CAAGGGCAAGAAGACAACAGTGTCTCAGCTCTGAGAGAGAGACAAGTAAGAGATGAGTGTGCCTTTCTTCCTGGTGTCAGTCAATTAGATAGTGCCTATTGCGTAAGAGCAGATCTTCCTTATTCAGTCCTAATTCACATCTTAACACCTTCTGGAAACTCTCACAGATGCACCCAGACATAAGGCTTCACAGCTACCTGGGTAACCCTTAACAGCCCAGTCAAACTGACCCCAAAAATTAACCATCATAGTGTCACTAAATCAGACCCACTGTTGCTCCTGTACCATCAAGAGAAATGTCCACACAGTGAGAAAAAGCAAGCATCTCTCATAGGCCTCATGAGATGGTCACTATACCAGTAGACAGATCACATTTTGACAACCACTGAAATAAAGAAAACAGCTTTACTTTTTTTAAGCTCATGTTTCACAAACCTCCCTAACCAAAAACACATTGACCACATGATATTTGTTATCATCTATCCAGCCACCTCTGAAATGCCCCACTGATGACCACACGAGGCTTTGCGGGGGACATCTAGATACAAGCCAAAACAGAAACAGACTTCAGCTTTCATGTAACTTGTAAGAATGAGCTTGACAGTGCAGGATCCCACCGACCTTGCCCTATGCCTCCAGAACCATGCCCCGTGCCAACCTGTGCACTGCCCAATGCCACCCCTGGCTCACAGCTTTTGAAGGACTTTCGTCCACTCCACCTGGACCTCCCCAGTGGAAGTGCTTCCAGAGCACCTCCTTGGTGTGAGCGACAGTATTTTTAGAAGAAATACTTCAGCAAGAAAAACTAGCCAAAGAATGCAGGTTTCAAATCAAGTGACCCGAGTGAGTTGGGCCATCATGAATTCTTCATACCTGGGCTAGTAGATACACCTATGCACGACCCTCAGTAAACCTTTGCTGGAAGTAATGTAGACTGCCACTTTTGGAGTGGCTGAAGATCTACACGTTTCCTACAGAACATATATTCCAGAGTACTATTCTTGCTGAGGAAGTCTACACCAGAGCTGTCAGAAGAACATTAAAGAACAGAACGACCACAGCTTGCTACTTTGGAACAATTCACATGGAGGCATCCCCGCTCCCTGCAGAAATTACAGATAAATTTGGGCACCAGACATTTGTTGGCACAGTATGCATGGATTTGAATAAGTGTCCCAGAATACAAGGAGAGCACTGAGGAATCAGTACTGCAGGGAAACAAAAGGATTTGTGTCAGAAATGCTTGAAAAGAGGTATTCCAGAGTGAAGTCCACAGTGACGCCAAGTTTTTCCCTTTCTGGCTTGGAGACTTTAATGGGTGAACTTGGCAGCATTGCTAGGGCCCATGGGTTGTACCTTCAGAGCTGTGAAACTCAGGGTGAAGCTGAAGCAGTGAAAAACTTGTTCCCCAGTTACAAGAACTACACAGATGTCTATGATAAAAATAATATTTTCCTAGAGATCAGTGTGTATGAAAATAAAATATGGCCTCCAAAAAATGATAATCTTCTGAGAGATAAGACAACGATGGCACATGGCTGCTACCTTTCAGCAGGACTGGGCATAGTCCATGAACAAGAAGCTTCCATCTCACATTGTCCCAATTCTAACCTGTTGCTGAGCAGTGGCTTTCTAAATGTGCTTGAAGTCCTGAAACGTAAGGTGAAGGTAGGGCCGGGGACAGACGTGGCTGGTGTTTATTCATATTCCACGCTTGATGCAATCGGAAGAGCAGAGATCGTTTCCAATGTCCTTCTGATTAATAAGGTGAATGAGGAAAGCCCCTCCCTCAAAGAAGTCTTCAGACTAGCTACTCCTGGAGGAAGTCAAGCCCTGAGACTAGCGCGTGGGACTGGAAACTCTGAAGTGGGCAAAGAACTTGATGCCCTCCTAATCGACCCCAAGGCATCTGAAGCTCCCATCAACCTGTTTTGTGAACATTTTACTGCTTCTGATGCTTCTGACGCTGCTATTAAGAAGTACTTCTATCATGGAGGTGACCGAAATATTGAGAAGGTTTATGTGGGCAGAAAGCAGTTGGTTCCTTTTTCTAGCTTAGTGGAAGAGCCTTGGGCATCTACGACATTCTCCTGGGATGACCTGACTCTCTATCTCCCTTGCGCCCAGGCAGGGTTAAAAAGTCAAAACAGTACCTCATTCTTGGGATGACGGTCTCTTTCCATGTTTGCATTTATTTGGGAAACTGTTCGAAGGACTTGTGCTTATTCTCAGTATGGCTGGCAGGGTCATAATTTCATGAAAATCTTTTGAGCTGTTCAGATTTACCTTAAACTCCAGCAAAAGAGAATGTTCTCGCTAGTTGGTGCCTCATTATGAGAATGAAGTCACATCTTTTGCATATGTGGAAATGCAGAAGAAGAAAAAAGATATTCCTATCTGGTTGGATATTTTGAGCTAGTATGAAAATTACGGAACTGAAAATGGTCCCGTGGGTATATTTTTACGAGGGAGCAGAAGTTAGATAGTGAACAAATGTTGGAAAATTACTTCAGGTTGTGTTTGAAAATTATATCCTGAGCATACTGATTAAAAAAGGCAACTTACTGAATTTTAAAGTGTTTCTAGATTGACCTTGTGTCAGAAATTTGCACTTCAGAGCCATGTGATTGTTGTGTTTTGCCTTCTTTCAGGGATGAATGTCAGAAATTGAAAGCCACATGCTTTTCAGATATAATTCTATGCTTCAAAGTGTTTGACAGAAGTTGAGTATTGAAGATTTAAAGTCTCTTAGGAATGTTATTCATATAACCACACGGCATAAATTATTGTATTTTGTGTACTTTAAAAACATCTTAGTGTGTAACTGTGTGATGTTATAATTGCTTCATTTTATTATAAGAGAAACAGATTCCATAAACCATTGCTGTGTACATTTGCATCTTCATAAATTGGGGCCAGTCACTGGGTGTCATAGAGCCATGGATGCTGACAGGACAGACTCCTCTGCAGCAGCCTGTGCTGCCCAACACTATGCTATAGTTACACAAATGTTATCCACAGATATCAATATGCTAGAGCTTTAAAATGAGGGACAAATTATGTTAAAGAAATATCATTAAAAATCTTTAAACTCTGCGCTGCCTGCCTCACAAGCACAAGGTCCTGAGTTCGATCCCTGGTACTTCCCCCCAAAATTAAATTCTGTATATTGAAGTGCTGAAATATTTTGAAAAACTTCCATTTTATCCAATTGTTTAATTCCTTAATAATTTTCTGGACATTTGGATTGCCGTACAACAAAAAATACAAAGCGATTCCAGTTAGTGTTTATGTTAAGAGAACTTAATCTGCCTGGCATGGTGGTGCACACCTGTAATCCCAGCATTCAGGAGGCTGAGACAGGAGGATCTCTGTGAGTTCGAGACCAGCCTGGAATACATAATGAGTTCCAGGTCAGTCTCAACTACATAGTGAGATCCTGTCTCAAAAAACAAAAACAAAAATATTTGATTTAATGTGTCTTTCTAGTATATAGAAGAAATAAGGGAAACGTAAGTCTGTATCACTATTTCCTTAGCATCTAACACAGTGTCTGCCATTTAGAGCACCCAATAATCATCAAATAAGTAGATCAAAGAGATCATTCAAATATAATATGATGACTGCTAAAAAATAAGTATGTGTGCAACATGCTGAGCCATGTGCCAAGGACATCACGACTTCACAATGGGCTCATTGTAGCACATTAGGACACAGGCCCTCTGCATGTGTGTTTAGGATACCTCTAGTGGCAGCTGATTACTGATCATCAATTGCTAAATTTGGGGTAGTATGCCTTCCTCATAAGAAGCGCTTTTGCTTCTGGAAAGTTAAGCAGAGCCAGGAGGGCATTAGGATACAGGTATTTGAGTTTGATCCTAAGCTTTTACAAAGGAACTATACAGGGACTCACAACATTCCATGCTTCCTATGAAACTAGGTGAAACTAGGAAAGCAGCTTGGCATAAATAAGTCAGAGTCAGGAATACAGAGGATACGTAGAGCCCTAGAAAATGCTGAAGAATCTTTACATGTGGGGAATGGAAGTGCGGTTGTACAGAGTGACAGGAATTTGGCCAAGATGAACAACAGGGAGGCAGCCTTGTAAGGGCTTCGTATTTCTTAAAATTCTGAACCTACCCTTTCCTTTGCCCTGGCTTAAGAGTAGTACAACCATCAATGGTTTAGATCTGAGATCTGCTGACCCATGCTTTTTTTTACCAGCTCTCTTGAGCTTTTCATTCATCACCAAAAACTCAACCTGTCTCTTCCCTGTTTTCAACACAGTGCATAAAAAGAAAAACACAAAAACAGAGACACCAACAGAAAACAAACTCTGAAATACTATGGTATATGAGCTTATGCCTTTGTGCCTGTTAATATCCTTTGTGGGTTTGTTGTTGTTGTTGTTGTTTTGGTACTGGGGATCAAATTTGGGACCTTGCACTTGCAAGGCAGGTGGTGGAACCACTGAGAATATCTTTTGTTTTCAAATGCATAAACTCACTGCAGGCATTAAGCACATGGTTTTTGTGGGCCATTTAGACTAACCTTCTCTGTGGGCAGGAATCACTTTATATGCTTGTCTTGTTCCTCCTAATACGCCTTGCATAACAGCAAGCATAACATAAGCACTCAAGAATTTCACAGAACATGTAACAAACCTAACATACTGAACATACTTGAGATGAAATAAAATCTAAACTAAAAATTACAGGTATTCATTTCCTCTTTCAAACTAGCATGCTATTAGGTGCTTTATAAACTCTTATTACACTTTACCTGCCCATCTGAATTTGGACTTTAATATCCCATAAACAAGATAATACATTGCAATTTATGAAATAAAAACAGCTTTAAAAAACCCTCCAAAATATTTATTTAAAAATGAAATTTGACAAAACTTTGACAATTTATCAACATCTAGATGCTTTTCCATGTATTAACAAATGCAATTCAGTATTAAATTTAGTATATTTTGAAAGAGCTTTTTAACTGACAGTGAATATTCAAATTTCACTAAATTACTGATTTTTTTAAATTATAAATTTTCTCTTAATCAAATTTGGTTATATGAAGAAAAGCTACACACTGGAAAAGTTACACGGCTTCAGGCTTATGTCGAATTAGGACTACTTTCAACAATTACTGGAATCTCCTTTTAAAGAAAATCTTCACATGAGCCTATGTCTGACTGTGTAATTGACTAAAGATGGCCACATGTCTGGCATTTCCAAAGCAACACATATACTACTAAACATAACACTGAAAACTTATTTCCTCTAAAGCTCCAGTAAGTGATTCAACGTAGTATAACAAAACATGAAAAGCTCCCAGTGTTCATCCTAAAAATTAGACAGTCTTCTTTGATTTTTTCTTCTCTGCTTCTTCCTTTTCCTTTTCTATTTCAATTACTTGTAATTCAATTTCTTTGGCACTAAACATCTGAAAAGGGAAACATTTTTTAAAGCAAATTTTAAATAATGACAATATGAAGAAATCCCATCTACAAATTTGTATTTTCTACTATAACTATGTTTTATAACTTCACATATATAATAAAAAGCAACATATTTGTAATAATTACAGACAAAATCAGATCTCTAACATTTTTATTATCACTGTACTATAAAAGAAAGCTGGGTAAAATGTGATAGTAAATTATACATCGTATGTATGCATCAAACTCTGAAAACACTTTAATGCAAGGCTTATTACTATTCAGGAGCAGAAAACACATGATTGAACACACACACACACCCTGTTTGGTACTTCTCTGATAGATTTAACTATTTTAAAGTACCTCATGGAATAGCTGAAAGAGATGAAAAAGATGATTTACACTGCTTTGTTTCCTCCACTAAGCAGAAAACAAAGAGTCTGTATCCTCTAAGAATTTACAACATAATTTTGACTTCCAGTTGTTTCTCCTTCCAACAAGGTCCAGATTATATAATCGATGCTAAAAGACTATTTAACTGAAGATACTTACATTGGAAGACCTAAATTTAATTATCTTAATGAAAGAGATATTAAGGAAACTGATAAAGGAATAAGCAACTTTATGACAAAGCAAATTTTTAAAGATAAGAGGGAAGGGAGAGATTTCAGCAATGAGTCCACGACCAGATTTCATATATAAGGAAGGTGAGATTCCTAAAGCCAATTTTTTGGGCCCAGAATAGAAGAGGGATTAAAAATGAAAGATCTGACTCCTGTTTTAACTCCAGAATCTTTCCATTTCAAAAATAAGATGCACATCAGAAAATCTGTATTTGTCAACAATTTATGTATATTACCGAATCATATTATGATGTAAATGTATCCATCAAGCATATTGTTTCATGTGCTCTGAAAAGAAAGTGAGACAGTACAGTTCTTGACTTCCAGTAAGGAGTCTACAGCTTAATGGAAGGAAACCAGGCATGTAATAGATCACTGTTAAAATTAAAAGCTGACTAAAGTAGTGTCATATTATCGGGGGAAGAGTAAACAAGGCCTTCATAATAATAGGCCCAGTGTCTGAACATTTTGAAATCAAGGAGGTAGCAAGCTACATCCAATGAAGTCCCTCTACCCAGGTACTATTTGTATATAAGTATATAAACTCAAATGGCACAAAAAAGTTAATAGTGAAGTATAATGCGCCCCTGATCCACCTCTGCTCCCTCCTATCCTCAATTAACTGTTCCTTCTGCTATTTACCTTCATTTCCACATTATGTTTTCACTGCTACTTCTTTATCCCATCTCAGATATCATCTCCTGACTTCCTAGTACCTATGTCATGTATCTTCCTGACTCCTATTTCATCCCTCATTTCCAAAACTTTTTGATAACATATCTAATGGTTACTCTTTCTCGTTTAACATACTAAAAGCTTCATAACTCATAGCCTATAGTTCTAAGATTTTTTTTCTTCTAGTATTTCTTGGATAATTTTTATTCTCATATCTGTTTTTCTTTTTTATTATACATATAATGGAACTTATACTTTGATATTCAAATTTATCTTTTCTGTGGTTATCTCTAGATCTTCATGCTTTATTTCCTGGAGGATTTCTTTGATTTGATTTTTTATTCTAATCTTTTTATTGAATTTTAAATTCTGGCCATTATAGTCTCATTTTCCAAAAGAGCACCTTGAACTCTCTGAATGTTTCTTTTTTACAATATTCCCTCATCTCTCTGAGGCTATAAATTAGTTTTTAGGTTTTTAAAAGATTTCTTCGGAGTCCTATAATATGTGTTATTGCAAGGTTCTGTTTCTTTATGTTTTACTTTAGTGTTCATAATTCCTGAATATCCTTGGCTAAACTTTCATATTTATGTTTAAGAGTAAGGCACTGTGGCACTGAAAAGTGAACTGGAAATTTGCAGAGAATACAGTAGAGGGAGTCAGCTAATGGGCTCCCTACGTGGTTATCAAGTGGTGAGGTAAGACATGCCTTTTATCTGGGAAAAATGCAAATATTTGATACTTTAGGCTTTTTAAAAAACTGTTATTATTCTATGGACTAAATGTTTGTTTGATTCTAAAATTCCTATGTGAAATTTCAATGTCCAATGTGATGGTATTAGGAGGCAAGGTATTAGAAGGTATTGGAATCTGATATAGCTTCTCTCTCCCTCTCCCTCTCCCTCCCCCTCTGCCCCCCCCCTCC